ACTGACAAGAAAGGAGATTCTGTCTAAACATTAAGAAGAACTTTTTAACTATTAAGTGTTGTTCAACAGTAGGATAGATTGCCTTGGAAGGTGAAGGACTCTCCATCCTTGGAGGTCCTTAAACAGTGGATGGATGACATCTTTTAGGAGTGGATGGCCCTTGCGATCCCTTCCAACTCTTCAGAATCTATGAATCGATTCCTGGTTATTTCACTCTCTTTTTAAAAAAGAGCTTAAATTTCTGGTCATTTTTCCTTACAGATATTTATACATACAAAAAGTATTGCTAGGTCATAGCGTGGGAAGCCAGGCTAATTTCCAGCCATCTGTGTTGCCACCAGTATCTCTATTTGGCTTCAGTTTAACTCAAGGTACAAACACACACATCCTGCCTTCCCTTAAAGTTCCACATGAGCCTTTTCATGACTAAGAAAATTAATTCAAATTGCCTTAAACATTTCCCTGTATGTTTTCTCAAAAGCATTTCAGGTACACCCATTTGCTCCCCCCCCCTTTTTTTTTTTTTTTTTTTTTTTTTTTTTTTTTTTTTTTTTTTTTTTTTTGCAAAACATATATGGTTGAAATAAAACCAAGGTGGAGGGGGAAGGAGACAGAGGACAGACAGGTTATCAGTTCCCTGGGTGGGGGTGTGTGTGTTCTGTTCAAAGGTGTTTTTTAATCTTAGACTAGAAAAGGTTGCTATAGAGACCACTCCTTTCTATTTAAACATGAGCACATTATAAAAGAACAGGATATTCAAGGGAACAGAGCAGGTCTGCACGACTTAAGAGTTTTACTGCTATTATTTTTTTAACACCTTGTAATTAAAAAAAAATACAGTTGTCATTTTCTCTTGCCGATCACTGTTTTGTAAGTTGTAAGCAGTGTTGATCCTACTTTTTAATACAGAAAAACTGAGCAGAGGTAAGGGGGGGAGGGGGGAATCATGAATCACTTTAAAAAAAACAAAACCACATGTGACCCACCAAATCAGACACAGCCTACCTGTCATGTCTTGTATCCTGCTCAGTGACCCTACAATTCAGTTATGGGTAGGCAGTAATAGCAGGTAGGTACTGACAGCCCAAGAGGGCCAGTGTGGTACAGTGGTTTAAGTGTTGGGAGTATGACTCTGTAAACTTGGGTTCAATTCCCAACTCAGCCATAAAACCTATTGGACAAGTCACTTTGGACAAGTCACATGCTGGCCATGACCTTGGACAAGTCACAAGTCAACCTCCTCTCAACAAATCTTGCCAGGAAAACCCCATAATAGTTTTTTGTGGGTTTTTCGGGCTGTGTGACCATGTTCTAGAAGAGTTTCTTTCTGAAGTTTCGCCAGCATCTGTGGCTGGCATCTTCAGAGATGGCTTCAGAGATGGCTGCAAAAACCCCATAATAGGTTCACCTTAGGGTAGCTCTAAGGCAGAAATGACTTGAAGGCACACAACAACAACTGACACCCCAGGGCCATACATGACTGATAGACTGCCCAGTGCTATTCAATATCTTTATTAATGACTTGGATGATGGTATT